ATACATACATACATACATACATACATACATACATACATACATACATACATACATTACATACATACATACATACATACTTACATTACATACATACATACATACATTACATAGCATAACATAACATAACATAACATAACATAACATAACATAACATACATACATACATACATACATTACATACATACATACATACATACATACATACATTATGCGAAAGGGTTTGAAACAATATTTCGGGAGAGAATAAACAGGCCCTAACCCACCAACAAGAAGAGACAGTTTAAGCCCCCCAGTCCCAAGGGCAAAGTGGTGCCCTCGGCTGGCAATGAACCACTCAGATAACAAACGGGGAATCCTGTTTAACCGCAAAACCCAAACAGGAAAGGGGACCAGCGCAGCCAACCAGGCGAGCGCAGCAAGCGAGCGAGCAAAGCAATTAACCAAGCGAAAGCGGAGCAGCAGCAACAGGGTGCACACCACCAGACACACAACCGACCCACAACCAAAGAACGTGCCTACCGCCGCGAACCCCAGCCCGACCTTTTGCAAGACCGAGATGGGTAGCGGCGCCGCAGGCAGCCGATGCCGTTATGGCGGCGGAGTCCGACGCGGTGAAAAGCTTGAGCCAAACGGCGCATTGGCCGTGGCATGGAAACATGCTATGATAAAACTACATGCCCCCAAAAACACCCCCCTCGACTGTACAAAGAGATGGAGTGAATTTGGAAAGGCGCATTGGCCATGTTGAAGTTGAAATGCAATAAACAAGAACAACAAAGCCGATTAGGCTACCAGGGTTCGCGACCCCATACCCGGGCACTCATTGGTGCCCGGATCCCGCCACCACCCCGAATTACGGGTATGGGGCGGATTCGCGCCGGTAGCCAAATCAAACAAGAGAACGCAAAAAGAAACAGAAACAAAGATTCAACTCCAGAATGGCAGGCATGAAATAAAATTACGTTTGCAATGCAACCACATCGAACCGTAAGGTTCGAGTGGATTTATATCCTGAATTCATGATTTAGGCGCATTGGCCTACTGGTTGAAACATGGTGCTTTGACCACAAGACCTTGGTCTTTAAAATAGCACCGTCTAGGCGCGCGATCACACAAAGACCTTCAGTGGGAACACCACCAGCTGCAATCAGCGGTTCAGGTCCGAGTAGGACTTCACCGGCAGCGGTGCAGCGCATCCGTGGTCCTCACCGCAGCACCTTGATGAGTTCCATCTCCAGCAGCAGCAGCGGTGCTGGACGATGCTGACAACCAGCGGCCGTAGACACCGGCGAGGGTAACTGCCTTGCTGCGGCGACGCACACCTGTCAGGTAATCGCTGCCAGCGCGAATAGCGCACAGCTGCGCATGCAGTTGAATTCTGGAATGGCGAATAGCCCAAACATAGAAATACTACAGGGAGCATTGTCCATTATGTGAATTTCGGAATGAAAGCACGCGCGCGTTGGCGCCGCTACGCAAAAGATGCAGACGGACACCAGGTATTACCGATGTCGTCCGCCGCCGTGCCGTCCCCTCCCCTTGTTGAGGTTCCAGTCCCCAGGAGGAGGAGGCACGGTCTCGGCCAACTCATCATCCGCACCCCAGGTAGGGGTATGCGGCGAGTTCGGATTCTCGAACTCGCGTGGATCACCCTGCATGTGCGGCTGCCAACCCTGCTGCATTGTGCCAGGCCACATTTGCGGCATCATGCCAGCCATTGGCTGTTGCATGTACCCTCCCATTGGGAAAGCGGGGTACATCGGACTTGGGAACGGGAAAGGGGCTGCCTGAGCACCCTTGTATCCCGACCCGCGAGCATCAGGCTGATACCCGCCAGTGGGAGTTCTCGATCTGGCGGATCCGCCACGACCGAACTGCCCTTGTTGGTAGCCGTATTGGCCACCCTTGCCTTTGTACTGATCACCATTGTGACCCTTTCCTGGGAACTGGTCACCCTTGTGACCTCCGCCCTTGGGCCAGGATTGTGCAGGGGCTTTGCCCTTTTGCTGATCACCCTTTGACCTGGATTCAGGTCGCGGGGTAGCAGACCGTTGGTCTCCCCTAGGAGTGGCTGCCCGCCTGTGGTGCTTCCCAACCGGCGGGTCAGCAAAGACAATGGCGCATTGGCCGTCGCGCCGCGAAGCGGGGACCATGTCAACCTGATTGTCTTCGACATAAATGTATGCCTCAGCATACTCAATTGGGGCCGTGATGGATCCACCACTTGCCCGCAAAGAGTCGATATTCCAATCAAGAACAGTGGAAGCGTCGAAACTCGGATCTTCAGTATTGAAGTCCGTGAGGCGTCGCTCAGCCTGTACCAACGACATTATGATGTCCGCGCGTGAGGCGCCTAGGCCATACAGCGGAACCAAATACCCGTCCTCGATCCCGATGCGGTAGGCATCAAAGATATGCACAGAGAGGTAAAGGGCAAATGCTGAATTTAGACTGCCCTTTCTCGTCATATGACGACCCCATTGCGCCGCCTGTTGCGGGT